GAATCCTGAGTAATGCCGGTGAGAACATCTTTGATCTAAGAATGCGACACATTATATTGTGAATAATTTCAGGTGTGGCAGATGTGGGCAGGCATGTGTCAGGCCATTTAAGTTTATGTAAATTGAAATTATCATCTTAAATCCACCAGAAAACACAGGTTAGCAAGGAAATAAAATAAGCTTAGGGAAGGAGTGAAATAAATTCTTTTGAATTATAGCGTTGGGTAACTCTGAGGCTAATTTATTGTTTCACTGATGACTGTTTCTTTCCCACAGAGGGATATACATTGTTTATAAAGATGGAGATGTTGACAGTCCGATGGTCAAAGAGAGGGTCTGGCAAAACAGCGACTTCAACTTTGATAATGTTCTGTCTGCTATGATGGCCCTTTTTACCGTATCCACTTTTGAAGGCTGGCCAGCGTGAGTGAATTCTCCACGATCTCATAGCACTGTTAAGACAGTTACATTTTCCAGAGCAGTTCTCTATCACCAGGCATTTCTGGGCAACAAAGCAGTCTGAAGTGATGGTATAAAAAATTATTAATGGAGGAAGGAAAAAACTTACTATCCTTCTAAACCTGCTCACTTTTCCTGTATTTCTTCATTCATCTCTATCTAGAAAGTGCAAGCTTTTACATTGTTCGATTCCTAACCTTTCATCTACTTGTGCTGTAATAAGCTATTCCTTAGTTCTAACGGAAGTAGTCGTTTTTTGATGTTTATCCATCACTGCCCTTTAAAAAGCACTAATATGAACATTTTAGGCCTTCAAGTAAAAGTTTTCCTAAAAAAAGCCAAGCAATAAATAGTACACTGCATAGAGAAATCCAGGAAGAGCAAACTACCACTTGCTGTTTCCTGAAATGAGAAACATCTTATAGGATAGCTTTATGTGGGGAAATAAAAAGCACAATTGTCTGTCATTACTTTGATTCTGTTGGGAAAAAAGCATGTATCATTGTGTCGTGTGATTCTTCTGGTCTTGATACACTTGTAAGCACTGTCATTAGCTAAAAAAAGAGGACAGTAAACAGACCATTTCTGAAATCTGTCCTCTGTATCTGCACATATTACTCTCTTTTGTAATTTTATTGTCAATGAATATAAAATTTTGTTTGTTTTTCAGGCTGCTATACAAAGCCATTGATTCAAATGGCGAGAATGTTGGACCTGTATACAACTATAGAGTGGAGATCTCAATTTTTTTCATCATCTATATCATCATTATTGCTTTCTTTATGATGAACATATTTGTTGGTTTTGTGATTGTTACATTCCAAGAACAGGGAGAACAAGAGTATAAGAACTGTGAGCTGGACAAAAATCAGGTTAAAAAAAATACTGAACTCTTAGCTTTTGAAAGTATCTGTTTTTGTTTATGCATGTAGAGTGTCCTTCCTACTTTGGGTCAGAAGAGGGCACCAAACACTTCTTAGTAAAAAATTGAAACAGTAAAAGTAATCAACTGGTTTTCAGGTCATTTCATGTTCCTCTTTCTATAAGCCAAACATATCGGCCTTTTTATTGTGAAAGGTGTTACATTAAGCTTGTTAGCTTATTCGTGTCTCGCTTGTTGGTGTCACATTTAGAAGAATATAACACTTGACAGCTTATCCATAGTCAGAGGCAGGCTTTGTAATAGGAATACAGGAACAGGAGAATAAATGTTCTGTTCTGAATAGTCTGAAAGTGTTCAAAATATTCTACACCACCTCACCCTCCCCTCCTCCTCTCATTTTATTTCGAAATTCACTGGGGATATTCAGATCCAAATTTTTAAAATTGTCCCCTTTCACTGTTTAATAATGATAAACTCATCAGTCACCAGCTATGATTTTTCAGGTAGTCTTGTCCAACTGTTACACACTTGACTTAAAGAAAGTTAAGCATGGAACTTTAGCCAGTGTTAATTCTGCATTTTGTGCCCCATTTCTCAGCTTGTGTAAGCCTTCTTCAAAAGACAAGTGAAAGGCCCAGCCGACATGAAGATTTCAGGCACTAAGAGTGGACATGAACCAATGATGTTCCTACATAAGTGACATGGTTTTGCTGGGCAATTTAACTGCATTATTAGGAATAGCACTTCCTCAGTATTTATTTGGATGACTAGAGTTTTATGTTATACAGTTGCATTTGTGGTTGAAAACAAAGACAAAGCATGATTTATGGTTGAATTAATAACCATCTTATTAATAGTCATACTGTATGTATGGATACATATGGTCTGTGGTATACTACTGTATACTACTATACTGTATAAAGGTGAAACACTTCACAATTTCTGTCAGCATTATTTGATTCTTTTTTATGTGGCTGAGTAGCATATTGGACAACTCTATATAACCAAGTGAGGATTGGTAAGCTACTTGCTTACATTATTAACAAGTGTATAATAATATAACCCCTTATATCAAGTAGATAGACTGCCTGTTTTTAAGGCTTACATTTAGCAGTTTGCAGTTATTAATTATATTATCAGTTGATTAACTATTAGGTATAGTCTGACAATTTTTGATGTATTTGCTTTTACAGCGTCAGTGTGTGGAATATGCCTTGAAGGCACGTCCTCTTCGTAGATATATTCCAAAAAATCCTTACCAGTACAAGTTCTGGTATGTGGTGAATTCTACTGGATTTGAATACATCATGTTTGTCCTCATCATGCTGAACACACTTTGTTTGGCTATGCAGGTAGGAAAACCAGAAGTTCTTTTGAAGATGTTGGCATAAGTTGCAGGGAAGGGTATGAGTGAGACAATGCCTTTAATTTATGGCAACCTATTTTTTTTTAATTAAATGAATTTTAAAAACCTGCTTCTGATCATAGTACTGTTCTGTGTCTTGTTCTAGTCTGTTCATCAGTTCTCTGAAGTAGAAGTATTTAGAACAACTTGATGTTGGTAAAGGTCTTCCTAACCTAGTCAAGCTCTTTGAGCTTTATTTTGTAGCTGCAGTGTAATTTAGTTTATATGTGTGTATTCCCAAGATTATCCATGTGCAAGAAGACCTGAAAAGTCTAATTTTGTTAGCAAATGTTTTTTCAACCTCCTAAATTCTTTTGTCTAATACATTCTTTTATGCAGTGCCTTTAAGCATTGCTTCACCTCTGTGTAGGTTCTATACTGTCTGTTACTTTTAGATATGTACTATTCTGTATTTGGTTGGATTGGACCAGACGATCTTTAAAGGTCCCTTCCAACCCAAACCATTCTATGATTTTTTAGTTTTGTGTTATGCAAACCTGTTTTCATATATTAGCTGTATATCTAAATATACCTGTGTGTATTTTTGTATCATTTTACTTTTTTTACATTATCCATGTAGTTCTTTGCCACCTACTTTCTTACATACTTTTCCGAGTTGTCTCTTTCTTTACTATTTCAGATTTTGAGAAGAAAAAAATGGTTCAAATTCAGTTTAAAAAAAACACTCTTTTTTTTTTTCAGTAAACTCGCATACACTATCCTCTTAAAAACATTGTTCCTACACAATGTGTGTTATTCTGTGACTAAAATACTGGAGGCTTTCTAAGCAAGTGTGACACAAGGTTATGTAATCTCAAAAGTGATCATATAAAAAATGGGAAATTGCTGCTAATACTCTTCTTTTTTTTGAGGAAAGAATTTTCCTCTCAAAAATATCTTTCTGGAGATTCCCTTAGGTTACAGAGGAATTACAAACTTGTTCCATTCAGTGTCTAAAGAGAATACATTTAAACAACTCCATTCTTGACCAGAGATATTCTGCTAGTTTTGTATGTATACAGGTGTGCATCATAAATACTACTAGAAAATATTTCCCTGTGCTGCATTATTGCCAACTTTGTCTTAGGCTACCTTATTTTCACTTACTTTTTAAAGTAAAGGCTTTAAAATATTTTATATTTTTCATTCACAGCACTATGGACAGTCTAAGCTCTTTAATGATGCAATGGATATTATGAATATGGTTTTCACTGGTGTGTTCACTGTTGAAATGGTTTTGAAACTGATTGCATTCAAACCCAAGGTAAGTTTTAGATATGATTTCATTAGGTCATCACCACAGGAATTAAGTATAATGTAAGTTTCACACTAGCTATGTAACACTCAAAGAACCTACATTTCACATGTTCGTCTATCAGTGCAATCATAATAAAATAGTCTGATAATATGTATATATGTAACTCCAGGAAATGAAGTGCAGATATCAAAAAAAAATATTACAAAGTGGTTGATGAGATCTGGAATATTTTGAGGTAATGAAAATGTCCCTTTATAATTGACATAAATAATTTCCTATTACAAGCATTACCACTTATCCTCATAGTGGTACTGCATTCATAATTTTACACAAAGTTAACCTACAGTAAAGACATTGGTTATATTATACTTCCTATTCTAGAATGCCACATTATTTCTGCACTTTATAACATATAGCCAAGTACTACGAACATACATACAAATAATTTGCATATTCAATAGCCTTTTTAGACTCTTGTATTTTCAGTTATGCATACACAATATTTATAGGTGATTCACAACAGAGTAATTGATTCTGTGCCTTAAAGGGACACTGTCAAAATGAATAATGCAGGCATATTTTCAAGAGTAGAATTGAAAAAAAAAAAAAGATTATAATTGGACTGTGACCCTTAATGCAGCCTTTTTGTTCTGTTCTCATACTGCTTTTGTGACAGTGCAAAAGTTAATAATGAAAAAAATGAACTGTTTTAAGAACAATGAAATCAATGGTTTTTTTTCTGGGCTTATATCTATATAAATTAGTAGAATTTGGTCATGCACTATACATGGAATTTGCAAAAAGCTGGACATGCCCTCAGGCTGGTGTTTCTCATTTCCCATCGCCTTTCTTTTAAAGTAATCAGGATATCTGCATCTGTAATTGGCTGTGAACTGTGCCCTTTCTTGGTGTTAAGTAGAGAACTGGGTGACTGTAGGCTGTGTGGACAATCTCATTCTTGCTTTAAACAACCTAGCTCTCATATTTATAGCAACATAGTCATGGGTGCCCAGAGCTCTGTGTGGAGCAGACAAATAACTCTGCAGCTTTTCAAAACTATTCGTTCATCTTGCATTTAGTTGTGAGCTTGGCTGGAGAGCCTGAGCTACTTGATTTAAAGCTCGCTTGTGTTTGCCTGCAGAATTAAATAAATCATACATCACTGGAGGTCTGGTGTTGAGATGTGAAGTGTGGAGTTCTGGGTGGATGCTTACCCACTCTCCCATAGTCTTGCTCTGCACTGTCCAGTCCATTGTACATTTCTAATCAATTTATTTGTATTTTTGTGTCACCTATCTTATTTAAATGCTAAGGATTTCACATTAAAAGTAACACAATACGAGGCCCCAGAGGAGATAGCTCAGATATGTGGACCACAGTGTCATGAGTATGCTGATTGTGTTTCCTGATGTGTATTTCCTGTTCTATATCCTTGTTTCATGCTGAAGTTTCAGAAGACTTTGCTGCATTATATCATCTGCTCTTTGAAAGAAGACTGTGAATTCTTGTATGGTTCTCCATACACTTGTGACTGTAGTCAGAAATAGCAGCTAATGCAAAATATGGTGGTCTGATCATGAGTGTATAAATCACAGTGCTCCATTTGTATTATGGACTTCCTACACATTATCAAATGCTATGTCTTAATACTGGTCTCTAAGACTTTGTACAATTTGAGTTTTAACTCTGTTGTAACACGCTTTCTATCTCATTGGAGTCTTTTGCTGTGAGAGATCCCTGGATCGAAACCCTGAGAGTTTGAAGAGCAGACACTGTCAGTGAAAGGTCTTAATTTCCTGCAGTTTGTTCCCTCATAGATGCAGAACACCTTAAGTTTCTTAATAAGCAGGACAAGGTTAAAATGACCATGGTATTAATCAGACTTGTGGCACAGATTAATTAGCAGAAAGAGAAAGGAGTTAAATATCTTTAAGGTTGTTCCTGTTATTCATTGAAGATTGTAACTTTTAAAATTGTCAGTTACTCTTTAACAAAACACTTATTGGGAACATTACTACATATTTCATTAATAATTGCAAATCAACTAGCAGTCTTAAGTAGAATGTTAATACATTTTAATAATCTAATTTTTAAACTAGATACATGCTTAAAACAACATGGAATTGCTTTAACTCGTATTTAGTAAGAGTAGGAACAATCTGAAACTAAATGTTTTTTTTTTAGCCTTCATAAGGGAAGACTTATTAATTTCCTCCATTTGTGTTACTACTGGTTTTTTTAGTCTAGTCTGGCAAAACTGACAGTTTTAGTTATTAATTTCATGCATTTAAAAAATGATTTCAAAGATTCTTAAAGCATCAGATAAAAACTCCATCATGCACTCAATAAAACCAAGAATCGATAACAACATGTTAGTTTTTCTCCTCTGCTTGACAGTGTCCCCTTAATTGGTTGACAAAAATCCTGTGAAAGCTACTACCTTTTGGTTTTGCTGGTCATGCAAACTTAAGGCTATTATAAATTATTGATACTCTTACTATGATATTGTGTTGTTTAAAACAAAGGTACTGCAGGCTGCCTTCCAGCTCTGAAATATATAAAACCTGGATAAGTGGTAGATATTAAAGGTGATGCTGAATGTCTGGCACACTTCTTGACTGGGAGATTGGAACACACAGTACTTTGCAGAATGAGGCCCTCAACTTATCAACAGAGTGCTAAAAAGACTGAAATATTTGTGGTAGATCTACAGAAACATATTTTGCTGTTAATCCTCTATGCCTACACATTCCCCAGGATTTGTGATTTTATCCTTCAGCATTTCTCAATGAACAGATTTTTCATAGTGTAAGTTAAAAGAGTAGGCACTTTTTCTTCACATTTGCAAAACTTGTTATTTAGAGTGGTTTAGTACAGTACAAAACAAACTAGAGCTATGGAATCTAAAAAATACATGAACACATACCGTATGTACAGCTTCATGATAGTTAGCTGTTACTTAAACTTGTAATGATTTTCCATGTCGTTTTACATCAGATTTTTGTAAGAAAAAAGGAAAGATGGCTAGTAAGTGAATTGATCTTGGGTCATTGCAGTGGTGAAAACAACTTATTTGCATGATGTTTATTTGCTGTGACTTGTCCATTCCTCCCTTTTCCAAAACCATCTTTATTTTCTCTTAGTTTTTTTGTTTACTTGTATGCTTTTGCTTTACATATTATTTTGAACAATATTTGTCTATACTGATGGAAAAGGTTGCATAAAAGTAATAAATGTGTAAAGTATTTTAGCTGTATTGAAACAACATGTGAATTTGTTATTTTGGTGCCTTATATTGTAGCATGTCTTGTAAAGTAACTTATTCCATAGCTAAAATTAACTTTCATTTGGAGGACATTTTTTGGTCCCTGTTGTTGTAGAGAAAGATGGATAGATAGCACACCGCAGGACTGTGCTGATTATCTGTTTGCTGTTTGCCAACAGTCTCTTATTTTATATATGTATAGAACTGTTGCTTTTTTAAAATCAAGAGAGATACTTCTTTTAAATAACAGGAATAAGGAATATGAATAATCAGGAAGAATATTATAAGCGTAGCTCCCCTGCTCCCCTTCTTTAGTTGGCAGCTGCTGATCTATTTAGGGTTATCAATTTCAGTATTGCTGAGGTGGTTCAGCATGACGTTTAGTAGAGACTTTGGGAATGGCTTGTTTTCGTGAAGCAGGATGCATAGGGAAGGAGCGGTAGGGAAGGGTGCAGGATCTCTCAGAAATGAATGCGTTTGTTCAGAAGGTTGAATTCATGAACGCTGGCTTTTGCCCCAAGAGTGGAATTGATGATTAATCCCAGAGAATCAAAGCATGTGGCGCAAAGGGCTATAGTGATAAGTCTTACCCTGATCTGGTTCCCCCTTACAGCCCATTCCTTAAATCAGGGAATTATTATAGCCATTTGTCTTTTAGAAGAGCTAAAAAGGAGTAGAATTAGAAACATAAGGTGATTTCCTGACTCTGCTCAGGACTTACTCTGCTAGAACACGCTGTAAAGCTGTCATCTTCTATAGCAACTCTCTTGTCGTCTCTAAAAGAAAATTTCCACATGAAATTAGCTTTTTTTCAACTAGTAGTGCACTCAAGTGTAACCTTTAAATTGTGATGCTACTAGAAATTGCAATGGTACAAAATCTTGAGAAAAGCATTGTCCAATTCCAAAAAATTTTGTAGCTGATTTGGCTTTTTTCTGCTACCAGCACATGTAACAACTTAAACCACTCAGCTCAAACATTGTAGTAAACAATGTAATCATAAGTGTGACTAGACATAAGGCTAGATTAGCACAATTGTCATTTTAAGCTTTTTTCCTAAATTCATATTTAGAGCTTCAACAGTGGCTAACAAATTAGTATTTTTAAATTAATGACCAGAAAAGCAGTATGTATGTAGAAAAAAAAATTTAAAATTTCTGACTTTGTCATGAATGCACATTCTTTAGTTATCATTGGCTGATAAATTATATTTGAGTGAGGAAAAGGGCAAATTCTGCGTTTCTATAATTAACTGGGCAAAACCCACATATTACAGAAAACATACAAATCTTGTCTCCGTGGTTTCCTTCAACAAAGTAATACACATTGATTTGTTCCCAATGACAGATTGATCCTGGAACCCACCTCTAGGTTTTTTCTGAAATATCTTTTTGCTCAAACATGCAGTTGTGATTCCAATAGATAGCTAATTGAATGATAGAAGTTTATATACGGTTACAGAATCAGGCCCTGACTGGAAATGTAGTGAGTCCCTGTATTAAATCTACTTTATGAATAGAAGATTAAGACAGTTCTCTTAATATTTGTGCACAGTTCCATGTTAATAATTGTGCGTGATTAACCAGTGATGAGCTTTAACCCATTTAACATTTTTACCAGTCACTTAGTAAATAGACTTAAACGATCATAAAATCATTAGTGCTAAGGAGGATTTAATTGGCTTGGTCTTGTAGAAATAGTATAAAAGGGATTTTGTTGGGCTTGTTAGGGTACCTATGCTAGGATTTTTCAGCCTTGTTAGAAGTCCCAAACCAGTTTTGGATGATGACTTGCTTGCCAACATTGTGCTTATACGATGGTGTATTATGCATGTTTACTCTGTGTGTGTGAGCGTGTGTCTGTCTGTGTGTGTGTCTGTACATGTATATATATAAAGTATATATATACACACACACATGCACATATATGTTGCTTTTCCTTCAGTAGGCAATATTGTTTGTTTTGTTTTGTTTTCTCATTAGACCACAGGTTTTGTTTAACTAATTTCTGTTTATGCAAAACTAAACAGAAGTATGCAAATATTTGACATTTCATGTGTAATCACAAACGTTTGCACCCTGCCTGCTCTGTTCAGGGCTATTTTAGTGATGCCTGGAATACGTTTGACTCCCTCATCGTTATTGGCAGCATAGTAGACGTCGTTCTCAGTGAAGCTGATGTGAGTATACCCCAGCTTACTTTCCCCAGTCCCTACTTCTCTTTCTCTGTCTCCCCACTATTTCCATCATCTGGACAAGTCACAGAATTTGATCTGATGTTTCTCAAGTTTGAGTACAGACCAGTCATAGGTCAATTATGTTGATATGGGAAATAAATAGCCTTTTTTTTCTACCATTTTTTTTTTAGCTATGAAAGGGAAAGATTAGATTGTATAGTGGTGCATCAGAGAAGCCTAGAGTGTTTCTGTGTTATAACACTGTCCTTTTCTTCTCTTTTTCTGTTTGTGTTTTTCTCTTGCTCTCTTTCTGCTGAATGCTTGTCCTAACAGCACTATTTCACTGATGCATGGAACACTTTTGATGCCTTAATTGTTGTTGGTAGCGTCGTTGATATTGCTATAACAGAAGTTAATGTAAGTAGCAACTGTTCATGCACTAAAAAGTAATTGCTGTCATCAACAAATACAGAAAATGTAAACCTTATCCCTCAACCCCCTTTTTTAGAAAAGTATGTTTTATCCTGCAATCAAAGACCAAAGCATTGGTGCAGTTGTTTATACAAGCTGTTATTATAAATCTGTATACCTGTATAGTTGCACATGCACACAGCGTAGTGAGACAATGAGAATTATGTTTTCCTGTATATGTGCAGTATATATTATAAAGATTTTATGTATAAAAGAGGAATTAAGCCTCTGTTACTACTTTACTTGAAGCCCGTTGATTTTTGTAGGCAGCTTGACAAAGTTAATTCAAGAATCTTTAAGTTGTTTCAGTGACTCATTTTAACAATTAATAATTTTTTTTTTTATGGTTTTTAGAGTGATGTTTAGTATTCATATCTCATGAGACAGCAGAATAAGGTTGTACAGATAAAGTAAAACTTCCCATGCTATGAAGAATAGAATGTTTTTTTTTTTTGTATTCCTTTTTGTTTTCCCATCCTGCAGTAAATGTTTCGAAATTTGAATTATTCTTAAAGTACTTGAAAACCTCCATCTTTTCACCAAAATTTTGACTGATGACCATTGCACATATAGGTGTTTGGACAACAGAAAGATACCTTTCCAAGAGAAAAAAATAGGGAAATATTGATTTTTGCCTGTTTTCTGTATTACTTTCTGGTTTTAACAAGGAAAGTTGTATCACAAAAATGATAAATGAAAGATAACAAAATACACAGCAAGTCTGTAGCAGATATGCAAGTGCTTCCCATATTTACATGTTTCTTGGTTTACTCAAAATAAGATTTCAGAGGAAAGTGCCTCTTCCCTCTAATGCTTCTTGAGACCTCAGAGAGGGAGGGTAAAGGAGATGAGACTTGGACCCAGGCCAGCCACTGAAAATGCTCAGGGAGCCCACAAAGTCAGTAGGTGAGGTTAGCGTAGTCCAAGTGCTCATCTGATCTGTTTCTCATTCCGAGAACAAAATTATCCAGAAATACCCATGATGCAAGAGATCCCAGATATTCACCTAGTTTCCTTGTAGCAAAGAACTGATTGATCAGAGAAGGCTGTAGACAGAAATAGTTGCTTGGTGTTCTGCAAAGATATTTAGCTTGCATGTTTTTCTACAGCAGTCAGAGTTTATGAGCTGGCTAATAACTTTCCTTTTCTCTTAATTTTGTTATAGTAAGCTACTTGCTAGATGTCTTTTTTTTTTTTTTTCCCCTAGAGGATTTTATGATTTACTCAAATAGTTTCTTTTCATTAATGATATTTAATGTGCATAATACTTCAAAATGCTCTGAATTTGAATAACTACTCACTTTTCAGTGGTGAATGTTTAAATTGTAATATCTCTGTTGTATTTTGAGGAACTAAGCCCATCTTGTGGCTATCACTGTCATTGAATTGAAAACGTTTTTCTGAGAAAACACATTTTAAATTTTTTTTTTTTTTCCAAAGTGATTTGTGTCAGGAACCTAATTCTTAGGATCACATTCCTTCAATCAGTAACAGAAATTATACCCTTTACTCCATTTAGGCAGTTGGGTTTGGGAGCTATGAATACTGGGATAATAAAGTTGCCCAGGAACATAGAATAGCAATTGTATTTGAAAAAACTGCTCTGTTCCAGGCATTCCAGGATGAGGGGAAAAAAACAAAACAAAACAAAAAAACCCAAAACAAAACAAACAAACAAAAAAAAAACCCCAAAAACCAAAAAAAGCCAATCAAGCAAAAACTCAACTCAACTAAAATGCATAGTTCTAAAGTAAGACCTGTCTAAGAAGACAGTTTTTGGCTTGCAGTGCATTGTTCAGATCAGCAGACCGCCTACTAGGAGCTTGGATTTATCAGGCTGGTCCTGACTGAGGCTATGGTTTGATGAGGATTTCTTATGGCATTTCTGTGAGCTTAAGTAGCCTTTGCCCACAGCCCTTCTTACCCCCATAGCTGTGTGAGCTGTGCTTCCACAGGAGTCTGAGAGCTTCCCTGGCTGAATGAGGTGCTGAGAACAGAGTATTGGTGAAAGCGTGGGCCATGGTGGGCACAGATGAGCGGATAAAGCTGCTGCCAGAGGAAATGCTTCTTATACTGTGCCCATACAGTCTCTCCTCAGAGCATAGTAGCATTAGCGCAGACAACAGCAATTATTGGCAGTAGCTGCTCCTGAAAAATGGTGATGTGCATAGTTTCTAATATTTTTTAATTTGGTAGGCATAGTAATACTTATTATAAATATGTTTCAACCAAATATAGAAAACAAATATATTCTTTTAGATTTTTTTTTTTTAAGGTGGCGGAATTTTTTCAAGCATACAGTCTATTAGCCCTCTTTTAAGACTTCAGATATCTTTATAAAGCTGTGAGTAACCACAATCAAAATAATTTTAAGGCTGATTCGCCTTAAATTCCTTCCTGATGTTGTTAAACTATGAGACTCTCACAACTGGCTGCATTACTGGAAAGAGCAGTGGTGGAATGATGTGATAACATGGGAGAAGAAGGTCCTCAGCTTGGCCCTTAGATCTCAGACTGGTTGTCAGTGGGTGAGGAATCTTTCTGTATGTGAACTGAAAGAACCTGAGCTGACAGGGAGGGTCAATCAGCTCAAAACTGCATTGTCCCATCGAGACATTTCTCAAAGTATAATTACAGTTCACGGAGCATATTTTTAAAAGCTGCCTGTAATTTGGTTTTAGGTCGGTTTAAAAAATGTTAAAAGTGGTGGTGGTGTTTTTTTTTTTTTTTCCCTGAAAAGTTTGAATTTAGAATTTCAGCTCCAGTGTTTACAATTTACCCACTATTTCCATTCACAGTAATACTGGTGTAGATGAGCATAATATCTGAGAAACATAAAAAGACCAACCACTTAGAATAGATTTCCCTAATAACTACAAAATGTACTTGATTGTGAAGAGATTGAAAAATAACTGAAATGTACCTCAATAGAAGATGTCCCTGTGTTTAACCCCATATTTAACACCGTGTAGACAGTGTTGATTTGGCAGCATCACTTATAGCTGGTCACTGCTGAGCCTTCAGCTGTGAAGAACGCTGTCATTTTAGTAATTCACACAGTTTTCTTGAAAATATTCTGGAGATCTAGTAGTCTTCAGGTAAAGTACACACCACAGTCAAGAACTAGCACTGTCATTTCTTAGTTTTTCATGCTATAATCACTAGAGAAAAAATGTTCCTTTTTGATGTCCTCTAGTACTGCACAGTCTACTTGTCTACTAAGCATTGTCTGTTTCTGGTCTTTTCCACTTTTTTTGTGCTTTGTGCTACTTGTTAATGCTTTACAGTTTCAATCTATTTCTGGGATTGATTTCCTGTTTTCAACATGAAACAGTGAATACTGCAAAGTGTCCAGGGAAATATCTTAGGTTTTTATTAGTTTTATTGTTTTGAGCCTACTGAATTATTCCTTAGTTTTGTGCAAATTTCTATAATCCAAACTCAGTATTTTAAAATCCTCTTAATATTTTTTTTTTTTTGCATTCTGAATTTTTCAATTTTGCATTTCGTGTTTTCAATGGGATTTCAAGCACGATTGAAATGGTACCTATGAAAATTCCCACTTAGAAAAAGCCTCTTAGACTGAGGAAGCTCAGCCTTTTTTGAAACACTGAAATAGTGTAAATTGCTAGCAGTGATGTAAAATCTGATCTTCTTGTGGTTGTAACTGCACAGGTACAGTCATCTTAATTGATCAATATAAAAGAAGACTTGGAAGAATATTAATACCTAATATAACGGACTCATGATGATCAGAACATTGTTATCGGCTTGAATATATATTATTGCCTCATGCTGTGGAAACAACTCAGCATCGTTCTGATAGTCTAGCTGTGTATATTTAGGCTAACTCCAAAAACCAGCAACTTCTAGTATATAACACATTTGTATCTGACCCATTTTGTTCAAGAAAGTGGGCTGGGCTTTCTAGTTGCACATCACCTTGATTTCAGTATTAGATTTTAGAAATTAAATGTCATCTCTATTTTGTTGTTGCTTTTCTTTTTCTTTTTTTTTTTTAATTTTTTATAATATATACAGTGCCCTGAGGCTGCTTCTTCTGATCCAGTAACCTCCCATTCACATATAATCCAAGAAATTACTGTGTTCTGAAAATTTTTGCTGCCTGTGGAAATCAGTGTTTCATGTGTTCAGCAACTTAGAGAACTTAAGAATCCTTAAGGACTGGGTCAGTAACCAACCCAGAAATGAACCACCTCAGTACAACATACATGTTGGCAATACACTATTTTCTATGATTGATTTTTTTTTAAAATTTACTTTGTCATTTAATATCACTTCCTTTAACCATTTCTTTTATGAACCTAATTGGTCTTCATGTTCATTTTATTTTTAGAAATTTTTAGAGGCAAGTATATATAAGTAAATATATATATATGGTATAGCAATAAAAAAAAAATTAAAAACACTACTAAAACCTATATAACAGCTTTTGGGTTTTGTAGCGTTTTGTTTTCAGAAAGTTTCACATGATACACAAGATCGTGTGGTCATAAAAATGGTTCCTTTTCAATTAAAAAAGCAGAGTAATGGCTGAGAGACAGTCCATTCTGGGAGATGGACATATAGAACTTAAGGCTTTGGGAGATAAATTGGAAATAAATTCTGAATAAATGAGTAAGTTCTTGAAATGCAAATAACAGACAAGTTTCACTCTGGCCTGTTTGTATAGAAATCATCTTATTTGTTAGCTCAGAAACCATTTGGATGACCAGCACAGGATGACTTTGAGGCATGGTCACATTGTTTCAGTAGTAGTCGCAAAAGTTTTAATTCACATCTTTTATTTAAGTTTCTTTTACCATTCATGTGCTGCCAAAATGTCAAGAAAATAATGGAGAGTCCACTTTCCTCTTCTTCTGTGCAGGAGTTTAATGCAGTCCCTATGGGACTAATTTTATCCTTGAAGTTAAGAAAAATTTAGGTCCTTAGCTGAAATAGGACCTCAAGGAACAGCATTGATATTTTCCTTGTGAGTCTCACAGGAAAACTTGTGTCTTGACTCATCACTGTAACCACATGAGGCTTATCCAATGCTTACGCTACCGCCACAACTCACTATGGTCAGCAGTGATGTCACGTGCCAAAAAAAATCCCTCACAAAGCCAGAATAGGATGTTCTGCCATTTGGCAAGAAGGAATGCCAGTATCACCATTTCAGCACTATGCAATGCATAATGTTGGCTTGCAAACAGTGGGATGCTTTTTCATTTGCTACACTGCTAGTGGGCTGTGTACTGGGAGGGCTGGTACTGATTTTTACATAGCTGCTGAATCACCCTGATGCTGAACAAAAGCACTGCAATTCAGTTTGAATCCCACTTTATATGCATGGTATTGTATGCTAGATATTTTTGAATGTTAATATATTTTGTAGACTATTCCAAAAGGAAAGATACCTTTTTATATGGCTTTGCTTTCATTAATATGAAGTCTAATTGCAATATGAAGTCTATACTCTGTTGCAATATTTAATATGGAGATAGAAGTAGATTTCTGACCTACTTTCATGTATGTGCTACAACTAATAATTTGTATACTTTATTGTGCAACTGAATGTTTAGTAGTTATACCCTATGCCTACAACATGTTAGTCATGAAGTCAGGGTTTATCTACTCTGGGGTTCTTGACATAGATTCAAAATTTTTACTAAATTATGTATGTGCACATTTGGTTCATGTTGAACAGGGAATATAGAGAGCACTGATAAGGGTATGAAGAAAATTAGTTGCTAACACATTTGAAATCCAGTAATTACTCTCTGAACAAATCATATATATACATACATGTATCTCGACAAACATACACTACACATTTCTGAAGATATTTTGGCAACCTGAATGCTTTCCTATGTGTGTTATTGTCATCATATGTATTTGTCATTCAGATGTTGACATTTGACCAACACCATGGACTAATATCCACTTATTTTCACCATGTTTATTTTTTCTTAAACACAGAACTGCAGTTTGCTTCCAATGCATAATGAAATCTGTTTGACACTGTTCTCACTTTTGACACTGAAGCTTTTTTCAGTTAGGATGTTTATTCTGAACTTTTGTTACAATATGAAGAGTATAATGAGTTGCTGTTTAGGTGCTAAATGTGCTGAATCTTTCATAAGCAGAAATAAATAGTTGACCAAAATTGGTAGCAGGTCACAAACATTTCAGTTGGTGAGTCAAATGTAGGTTGATTGTTGGTCAATCTTTTTTGAGGGTTGGGATTGTTTGAGGATGAAAGCTGCTGTGTTGAACTTTCATTACGAAAAAATAGAATAATATGTTACTAGCTACTTGAAGTACTTAAGAATCGGCTGAAAATTACATGGTTATGAAATGCTTTGCGGAGCTAGGCTCTCAATGTAGCTGGCACATGGCTGACAGAAAAGACAGTTGTTAAGCCAGTCTGTGTCCTGATATATGTCATTGCAGTGCATCTGTTTGCCAAGCAGTCATTTATTCTAGCTGTGCCTATTATCAGACTTCTAGCAGTGATCCCAGAAGCACATCTGTCATCTTAAGAGTCACATGGTCCTATAAGGGGCAAAAATTTCATGATAACGACCAGACAGCACCCAAGCATTTGGGACATGAGTAGTGTTGAAATGGTTGGTGGTGGAAAGAGGAGGTTGTAGCTACTTTACCTAACCACAGGAAATAGTTTTATTTGCATTTTTGTCAGCAGCCATCATCCAAAGAGACACTCTCTGCTCAGCCTGCCTCTCATTCAGTCTCAAGTCTATTCTAATACTTTCC